TGAGCTATAAAGATATTACATACATGTTTTTCTGGAAGAGAAGTAACAGATTTTATATCTTCAGCTGACTTATTTTGATTTTGAACATTCCTTTGCAGGCATTGCTCAAGAGTAGATATTCATATGAAACAAGTAACTGTACCAGTGACCACATATGTAGGATGCAGTAATATCTTGTTTTACTTTTGTGTTACTGCTGCTTAGTGTCACAAGCTGACTCAGTAATATTTCATGATGTGCTGTGATGTGAGACTTATTTTTACGTTCTGGATAGATTTTTATGTCTTTGGAAGAAAATCTTTCTAGTACACACATTCTGCATGTGATCAAAATGAGGTACAAATATATATTCAGATCCTCCTGAATACTTAATGAACACATTATAAGTCAAAATAGCAAAAGGGGCTACAGAAGACTGTTATGCCAACCTTCTCTATCCTGATCAATATTTCAAATTATCTGTGGATTCATTCTCTGAACTATTTTACAAAGTATCTTGTTTTGAAGTGGGCTGATGGTGACTTTGTTAATTTAATCTGGAAAGACAACTTTCACTCTGGCAGTAAACTTCAGTTTGTTGGTTTATTCAGGGTAACGTCTTTCACCAGCCGATGCAGAGCTTCCCACTTTAGGGTGTGGTTTTTTTTTGTTGTTTTGTTTTGTTTTGGTGGTGTTTGCAAGGTGTTTTATTTTCTCTCTCTCTCTCTTTTTTTTTTTTTTTTTTAAATTATTATTACTGTTAGTAATAATAATTTTCTTTGGTAGTGAGACCAAAGAAAGAGACAAAAAAAAAATAGGGGGGAAAAAAAGAACCTTGTCAAGTTCTGCACATTCTCTCCTGATGCTGGCATCGGCTGTGGAGGTACTGCTAGATCTCCATTAAGCACTCTCTGAAGTAGACTGACTTTTTAAATTAGAAACATTTGACTCCATATTTATTTTTTTCCTATACAACAACATATCTATTATATTAACTTTATCTTTCCAAAGTTCATGTTCTGAAGAACTAAGTGAAGATATTAACACATTTTTTTGTGGAAGAAGAAAGTCGGGGTGAACAGGGTGGATGAAATCTGTCTTTGAAAATTATTTTCTCTACACGTTTAAAATTACATATAGGTGCTCATCATAAAGGGAGGCAGCAGTATCTTTCTCATGAAAGATAACAAGGCTTAGTTGCTGACATAGCAGAATGCATCTCTTAGACATTTGCACATCTTGGCTGAATCTCCTTCAGTAAAGGTAGCAGTGATGTGGACTATCCCTGTCCCTAGGGCCCCTCTTGACGCAAGCCTTGATTTCAAACACTGTACTGCAAGAGCAGCCTGCCAACACTCCTATGTGCTCTGCTCCCTTACAGTTGTATCTGATATCATTTACCAGTTAAAATAACATCAGCTTCAAGTAGTCAGGAGAGGAGAAGAGAGTAGAGGAGAGGAGAGGGAAATTGTTACTTGACATGAAAATTGTAGCCTGGCATCTTGCTAGCTTTTGTTAACAGAGCCAAGCTCAGTATTGTAGGCTTTCTTCCACGGTCAAGGGAGAGAGAGAGGTTTCCCCAGAGGGAGATTCAGAGCAGCAGTCTGATTTAGTCACTAAATTGCTGCCTCAAGGAACACATCTCTCCCTCCCCAAGCTTGTTGGAGAGATCACAGGAGATTAATCTCAACAGAATAAAGTTGCCTTTTGCGACTATCTCATGACATGGCATCAGTGAGATGCAATCTTTTTATTCTTGACATGCAACACATCAAAGCCATGTAAAGCTCAGAACACCATTCTTGGTTCCTGACCATCTGTCTGACTGCATTTGTGTGACAACAGGCGTGTACATTAACATGCTGGGTCCGTGTTTTATGAATGTCCCAAATCTGGGTTTAATAATATTTGCTTGGGCACTGAGAAAGTCTGGGAATTTGATCTTGGTATGTATTTGGAGCCAAAAATGGATAGCAGCAAATGGGTATATGAAGGACCTGGCTGAAATTCATGCCCGTTATCCCAAACGTCATTCTGAATGTTCTCAGAGACTTTCAGACTCCTGATAAACTCAGTTGTGCCAGTATATCTGAACCTAATGTGCTGGACCTGTCAGAAGCAAGTCCCAGTCAGCATATTAATTCAGTAACTTTACAATTATGATTCTTTAAAATATTTTTCTCTTTGTATTATAGATTTTTGTGATCTAAACTTGGAATTAACACCTACAGCAATATCATTCTTAACAGCCTGTCTCCCATTATGCATATGTGCAAGCATGCCTAGGAATATAAATGAATTACTGTTAGAGTTTCTGGAGGGATATATAACTACCAACATGCAGTAAAATATTTTTGTTAACTGGGAAATGGTGTGCAATTTCTCAGTGCTTCAGCAAAGTGTCTTCTGTTGTTCTGTAAGAAAATATAACAGCAATATCCAGGGTATGGGTGTCTGTTACCATTTTGTTTCCTCAAGTCCTACATTGCACTGGCCTTTTACCCAGTTATCTTTTCAAATTTTCCTTTATTTGTTATACTACAAATAAAGGTGATGATCACATGGTCATAGATATCTAATTCAGCCTGCTAAACTACCACTTTACCTACTTTGACTTTATTATTATTATTATTATTATTATTATTATTATTAACTACCCAATTCCGATCCATCACTGCTGGATGTTTCCTGCTTTGCTGATAACTATTTTCTCACTTTTGGAACTGAAATACTTTTTTTCTTTTTTTTTTTTTTTTTCTTTTATCAGATGTGTTTAGACAGTGTCAGCTATTGAATGAAACGTGTTTGGTTCAAAATTTCGTGATGAATTTCAAATGGTTGAGATTAATTTGCAAGATCGTCTTCAGACATCTCAGATAGACTTGGGCAATTTTTTATGTTTTTGCTGGTTACAATATGAAATCAAAACCACCTCGCAATTCACAGTTTTGTTTGTCTTTAGGCTTAAATTCAGTGCACAGTCAGGAAAGGATGAACTCTCCATTCCAGAGAATCACTCACCTCTTTTGTATCTGTATAATACTGGAGTACAGTTCTTTTTAGCAAAACCACTGAAAATGTTCATTTCATCCTACATGGGGCTCCATTTTAAATTAATTATTTTATCATTATTGTGGCATTGTATTGTCAAAATACTCTATTGAAATATGAATGGAATGACATTGTATTCCATCCTTCTGGAAGAAAAGCACAATCTTGCTACCATCATAAATGCAGCAGTCTAACACATCTGAATGCAGAGAAGGAAAGGGAAAAAAAGGGAGAGAATGCAGGGAAGGAGAAAAAGGAAAATGGTGAAACTAAAATGCTTAAGTCCTGTTCTAATATAATCCCAGGTACTCCTTATGGAATCAGCCTTTATTGAGCAACTTCATGGTAGATTCAGTTCTCCTAAGAGCAAAATAATTTTGTTTGATTCAGCGTTTAGGTGTGTAAAGCAGACTTCATTCAAACTGAATTGTTTGTATTTTTTTCTTTAACTCAAAATGCAAGGTGATTTTTTTTCTTAATAGAAAAAACATGACTTTTTTCCATGATATATTTAATTTTTACTTTCTTAAAAAAACACTTTACGTGAAAATTCCACATGCTCTAGTATTGATGATGTTCTTGTGTCTTGCATCAGCACAGTAATGTTCAAAAACTCTGGAAAGAAAATGTACATCTAATACTTCCATATTCTGTTTCGTTTTTTCAGAAAGATTTTTTGTTTGTAAAATCTGAGAGACAAAAACGAGGTCTCTGTTTGAGGCTTTTAAATGTACAGATTCTTGACAAGCTTTACTGTTATATTTTAGTTAATACAAAGATTCATGATAAGATAGAGGGGGGAAAAAGATGCAAAAATGAATGCTTGAGCTCAGACTATGTCAGTAAACACACTGTGGGTGAAATCCTGTTGCTTTTAATAAAACAAAATTTTCTGGTCTGCATTTCAGATCTCTAGAATAGCTCTATAGCCAGTGCCCATCTTTGGATGCTGAAGATAAGGTTTAGAGTTTTTTTCTTTAGATCTAAGAAATTACCTCTTGGCTGAAATGTCTTACATTATGGCTATGGAAAGAAAAAAAAATTCATGGAGTAGTGGTCCTTTTGGTCTCAGTCTTCTGACATATGCTGCATTCTTTTTGTGTGGATCTTATATTTTACTTTTTCCCTGCATTAAGTTGTCTGATATTGTATGTCTGATATAATCTGATATATGATCTAGATATTTTTTTCTACATGGCTTCGTGGTTTTGAAAGTGCTCATAAACTATCAAATAGACTGTGTTTCACCCATACTTAATTTAAAGTACCAATACTTAAATGCAGTTGTGAATGGATCTAGACAGTAGTGATAACTTTAACTTAAGAGTGCTCGTCAGACTGAAGCTTTTCAACATATTTAGCAAACTCAAAGTATACATGGAGAAAATACAAATGAAAAAATAAAATTACAAAGAATACCATACCAATGCAGACATTAGTTAGACTACAATTAACAGATGTCAAATGGGAATTTACACTTCATAAAAAATCAAAAAGACTTACAAGAGTAAAAACTGCAAATTGTCAGACACTGACTAAGCTTTATCAAAAAATATATTTTTTTCATTGAAAGAATATCAAGCATAAGACAAGAAAACCCACCTATTATACACTAGTAATATTAATAATATTTAGTAAAGACAGTAATTAACTAAATTATTGGAATACCTTATAAAGAATAAAGCATGCAACTTCCATGTGATGGTCATCAAACATTAGTGAGCAAAATGTCTTATGTGGTGATTTTATTTTGCACTGTATTTATAAATGAGGAATTGTTCTTTGACTTAAACTCAAATTCTTCTGTTTCAGTCTCCTATTAGTGTAGCTTTTACTTGAGGGAACAATATATTCTAAATTAATCCCTTTTGTCTCTCTTTAGCTTGATTACAGCAACAGATTTCTGTCTTCTCTGGTTGTCCTCTACGCACTTCAGCACTCCAAAATCCATTTGTGTTCCTCCTTCCCAGGTTATCAAGATGAGCAAGACTTTCCTGAAGTTGCAGGATGAATGGGGATAGTCTGACTCCAAAACTTACTTGGGCATGAAAGTTTGTTTAGCTACCAATGAGATGAAAGGTGGGTGGAGAACCTGCTCACATTGTTCTAAAATTAAGAAAAAATACTAAAGAAATTGGAAGCAGTTTTTAAGGGAAAAAACATTACTCTCTCTCTTAGTGTGAAGTATTGCTCATTAGAAGAGGTGCAACTGAAATTTTAGATATGTCCTGGAATATTCAAAGTTAACTAAAACATTTTGTGATTTTTTTTTTTTTTGTGATTTTGTGAAATTTGGCAAATCTGGCTCAGGTTCTGAGTTTGTAACAGTCCAGGCTCTAGATCACTTGGTTCTGTGTACTTTCCACAGAGCATGTATGAGTATGTTTAGCGACGTAATAACGTAATGCAGCACATTAGATGTAAGCATCAGTCCAGCAGCTCAGCAGCTCACCTGCTGTCTGGGGGACCATGGGAGCATTGCTGCTGCCTGCCTGTCTGCTGCTCCTATTGTCGACTGCGCTTCCACCAGGCTGTTATGTACAGACAGGAGTCACAGTTAAACCCAACTCCATACAAGAAATTATAGTCACCATACAAGAAATTCATCTGGATAACTACTTTGTTCCCCACAGAGGCACCAGGGAAGAGATAAAATATATTACATCTTCTAATTGACTGTTCACTATGTTTGTTGCTCAGAAATTGAAAATCACCCAAATCCTGGGACCTTGAAAATCACCCAAATCCTAGAGAACCAACTGCTAGTAAGGTAAAACTGCCTGCCTGCAAAACTGAAACAAAGATCAAATCAAATAGTGGCAGTTGTCTATGTCTTACTGACATCTTCTGTAGAGGTGACAAACATAACGAAGCAAGCTTAAGGAAGAATATCTATGCAATTATCAGATGTTTAAGTAAGGGCAGGCTATCCCCCAAGTTTGTTTCAAAAATGATTGTTCAAGCACTGGTAATTAAGAGAAAAATGTTATTTCTGAGAGAAATAACTTTAGTCCATGGTGCATCTCATTCTCTTATTTCACAGAAGTTTTATCTTAATCTATTGTTCAGTCTTTTCTCACCCTTGATCACAAAGCAAGGGAAATGACCTTTGTTTGTTTTCTACCTCCCTGAAATGATTCGTTTTGTTTTTCTGTATTGAAAGCAAACAAACAAACAAGCAAACAATAGATTCCTCCAGCAGATCTAGCCCACCACAATTACTAACAACAGTAAAGGTAAATGCATTGTTGCAGATTTGTTTAACCAAGCCTGTAAAGCCATAAAAAAAAAAAAAAAAAAAAAACCACAAACAAAAAAAAAACTTGTTTAAGAGATTGCCCCTCTCACTGATATCTTTCTGATATCTTTATCTGCCTTCAGATGGAGAGGCCTTGCCCTTCTGAGCATTGCTGCCTCACTGGTGGACCAGCAGTTCAGATGTTGACCACATCAGCTGCCATCTGTGAATGGCTTAAGTTGAGTGGAGTGAGGCATCTACCTCTTGGCTGAGCAGAGGAAGAATAATCTGGTAGAGTCACAACTGACATCAGCTACGATGCCATCCTCAAAGCCATCCTTTAAATGCGTGGAGTGGGAAGTATGTATGAGAAGTGAAGGCTACACAAGACAAGTATATCTTGTTATGGAGTCTCAGGACACAGCTCCACAGGCAAAGTCCAAGGCTCCCTGTCATCGAGATGGAAAGGTCTTTCTCTATCCAAAGACCAGAGAGTTATATGCCACAGAACTTGCATGGTAATTAATCACTTAGTGACATTTCAACATGTGAGAAAAAAAGGAAAAAAAAAAAAAAGTCTGTCTCTTTCACATTAGAGTGAAAAACTGTGAAGTCTGTCAGTAAACATTCTGATCAGACATTAATTTCATAGCAGTCTCATTTTGATGCCTGACACTGCTGTGTCATCTGGTCTTTCTCATTCATTCTGTGCATTTGTTATTTTAATCTTAAAATGTCTCTCTGTGCAATTCAGTTGAGAGATTTCTGTTTTCAATAATTTATTTGCCATAATGCTTTCCTTCCTCCTTCAGACCTCTCTGAAATCAAGCACTGCAGTCCACTGACATGTTGACAGTTTTGCATGAATTTATGAAAAAGGAGTTGGAATTGGCTGACAAAGATTTGTTTATTATTATTAAACCCACTGTGCATCTAAGTTGCTCTTCTGAAAAGAAAATTAAGAGAAGGGGGAACTGAAAAAAGTGTTTGAAATGTATGATTAAGAATATATTCTATTACTCAGTTTACAATATATAATTTTAAGAATTAAGCCTGCTGCCTTGAGGCAGAAATTCTTGCTCTAAATTGTAAGCAGGACTACCTTAATGGTATTGTTTAATATGCTGAGAGGAAGTGAAAATGGATGTTCCAACACAGGGAAAAATGTAAGTACAGAGTTGGTTGTTTAATTGAGTTCCTTTTGCTTAAGAAGAAAAACAAAACAAAACATCTTGGTAACAAAACAAAAAGATATCAAATATAAACATATCTGCTGGATATTTTCTTATATACTTGTTCTGGTAAAAGGTTAAAATGCGTAAGTGTAAGTGATCCAAGCGTCACAGAAGTGACACCTCATCTTTTTGAAATGACACACTGTGGAATGTGCTAAGTTATTGTATCACGTAAGGCTTGTACTCCCTTCATTTGCATGTGCTCCTATTTCACATTCATATTTCCTTTAACACTTCAGCCTTGTCTGTCCATTCAGTATTTGGCTTTGCACTTGCCTGGTCTGTGGTAACAACCCCAGGCCCAGCTTCCCACAGCAGAGGCCTGGCACTCACCAAGCAAGGACTGCATGGCACATGCCAGCTCAAACACCACACTTCCTTTTTCTGTTTTCCTGCCCAGAGAGGCCAGCCAACCAAAGATGAAATTCCTCCATTCCTGGAACATCTGGCTTAGCCTTTCAATACTCATAATTATCCTCCCATTTCCAGCTCTCTGCAGGTGCAGGGAAGTGCAGTGCAGGTTCTCTGAGAACACAGCTCTGCAGTGGCTAAGTTCACCTACAAATCTTGGGTAAATGCATGCCATATGATTTAACATACACTCATGCTTTTATAATTTTTACTAAGAAAGGACCTCAGTGATAAATTGTCAGTTGGAATAATATTACACTATAAGGTTATGAAGCCTAGAGCAAAATCTCCAGTTCATAATAAGTGTAGAACTTCGTATTGCAATTAAAATTTTCATTTCAGCATCTTATGCTGCCATATCACTTATGCCTTTGCCATTTACCTCTATATCACTCTTCATTCACTTTTTATCCCCTCTCTCAACACAGGCTTTAATTTCTCTGTTGCTTTTTATCTTCATTCACTGTTCTTTACTCATCAGTTGACCACTTGCTGACTTCATTTCTCACAGTAACCCCAGGAAAATCTTCCTATGCATTCCCTGGCAGTGAGATGTTGCTGTAGTCCACATAGTCAATTAGAGGGGCTCTGACCTGTGAATGTCGTCAGAGCCATGACCTGTTCCTTGTTTGGCTCAGCACGGCTTGCCTAAGCAGATGGTGAGTAATGGCATGCAACGCCTACTTATCTTCCTGTGCCTCTCTCCATATGGTTCCTGTATTAGACCTGGAAAAAAACTGAAGGAGGTAGTGTGAATAGGAAATTAATTTAATTAAGCTCCATAAAGTTGCTGCTAAAAATACTTGTGTTCTTGTACTTGCTCAAGTGGCAGCACATACCTGAGAAAGAAATATGCAGCTCTCTTGATGTTAGCAGAGTTACACCTACCTGTACTATATCTAAATCTTACTGTGTGGTGTGTAAGTCTGTAAGCCACTTGAGCACACCTATAAGTTTCTCATTTTCCCACTAAAATCATCTCATGACAAGTGTGAGATCTTACAGTAGTAATATAATATCTGTAAATGTTCTGACACTACGCATAAGTACACAGTCTTAGAAATGGATAATGTCACTTGCTCCTCTTGTTGGTGGTAAATAATATTTATACATATGAAACAACCTGAAATTAAAATGAATGTGTTTAGATCATCTCTAGATTCAGGTATATCCTTTTTGTGGTTAAAAGGGAATGATTAAAAATATCAAAATTTCAGGATTTAGAATAACATTCTCAAAAGGAGCCTCTAAAGGTTTAGGAGTCCGTCACTACAAGCTATAGCTTTCAGTGAGACTTAAGTTCCTAAGTACCCAAAGGCCAGAATTACTGTACAGATAGTTTTGATATATTAATTTCTCAGTTAGTCACTTGGGACCAAATCCCCAAGATGGAACTACAACATGAGGGATGCACAAAGCCTAAGAGACAACAAATAAGAAAGTATGATCCCACAGCAGCCCAGTAAAGAGGCAATAATCCTGGGAGCAAGGAAAAGGGACAGCCCATATTGGGTTCCTGTCCTTTCTTTGGGGTTTGCTTATGGATTTCACATTGAAAATTCATAGAATAAAAGATATAATCAAACTTGGGAGAAGAAACATGATGTTCTTCTTCCAGGAAGAATGAAGGAAGAGAAGGCTTGGGTTTAATTTCTTGACCTCAGATCTCTCTTGCACCTTCATATACCCCACTGTAACCACCAGCCTCTAGAAATAGCTGGGAAGCAAGCCATTCACCCCACTCATGCCCCAACCTGAAGAGGGTTTACAAGAAATAAGGATTCTTTGGTTTTACAAAACAGCATGACTCACCTATAAAATACATGTAGACTACATACCACTGATTTTTTTTTTTTCCCCTGAATTGTTGATGTGTAGCTAGAAGTTATTTTCCAAAGCAAGAGAAAGCAAAAGGCAACCATGCCCCTTGAGGAGGGGTTCACACCACCCTAAACCACAGACGACTCTTAAGCAGGCCAAGGATGGTTTCTAGGAGCATCTCAGTCGTGTGTTTGGCCCTGTTGCTATGAATTAGTATAGTGCATCATGGAGTAATCTGAATTTCTGTTTGTGGGAGAGAGTCTGGAAGCTCAGGCTTTTGAGGGTAATATTATTTCATTGCTTCTTTAACCCAGTGGTGTGGCTAATCTAGTCTAACCCAGCAATAGACTTGTGGGATTCCTAAAGAGACATAATCAGCTCTTGCAGAGAGCTCCTACTTTGCTTGGCTTCCTGGCATGTACATGTATGTCTATTGCAGCTTACAGCCATGTGAAGGTTTTAGTGTGTAGCTCACAGAGGCAAACAAGATGGAAACCATAAAAAGCACAGATATTCATGACAGAGTAGAGACACCTGGTTCTCAGCCCCTGTTTCAGTGGTTGGTTTATGCATTTTAAATAAATTTTTATCTTATATTTAACATTTACATTATAAATCTTATAAACCAGCCACTGGAACAGGGACTGAGATCCAGGTGTCTCTGGCCTTCAGTGAATGTTCCTGCCTCAGGGCTGCAGAACCATACTCATTGCTTCTCTCTTTAGCACAGATTATTGTTATTATTTTTTTGTAATTATTTATGCAAAGTGAAATAGATTCATCAACAGTTTTCAAGATCACTAAAATATTCCAGAGGCAGGAATTTAAAAGAATTCTTTTGAAGAATAAGAGAATAATTTTCTACCCAGCCCCCTGCATCTTTTGACTAGTGATTTTGGGAGCCCACTGTGTATGATTACCACATTCAAGCTTCTGGGATACAGTTCCTCAGGTGATACCAGCAGAGAAATGTGCTTGTGAAACCTGTTGGACATGAATTAGACATGGGGAATTCAGCTCTGCTGACAATGAAAGACTCCTAGGCATACCCAGAAACATTACGCATTTAGCTTAACACTGGAAGCAGAGATGAAGAATTTTTGGATGTAGCCACCTCAAGATCAACCGTGTATTTTTTAAAATCTTACTAAATATTTATTTGCATCTTTAAATATCTAAGTAACTGCAGCAATTTGATTCCAGATCACCTTAAAAACTTGTGCTTCTTGCATATTATTTTAAGACTTTGCTCTTAACATTTTTTCTCCTCTAAAAGTGGCTTCCTAATGTGTCTCAGAGGGAGACTTTCATTAGTAAGTCACTAATGAGCCTGTAACTTTGATTGTGTGTATTACATGTCAAGTGAGAATTATTTCAGTGAAATGAATTACTCTTTTGCCTAATTGGTAGGGCAAGAATTCATGCTCAACATCCCTTTATTATGAGAGATCTTGTTTGTAATACGCTAGTTAAAACAGTTACTTTCAGCCTACATTTCTGTTTCTCACCTGTTGAAACAGAAATGCATTTTGTTTGTATCACTAGGAAAACAGGTTTTGGTAATATCTTTCCCATTTTCTAGGCTGTCACATTAAAGGGTTGTGTGCACACTTACAAATCATAAAAACAGAAAACAACAACAACAACAAAAACTAGTGTACATAATTATTTAAAAATAATCATTGTCTACTAACGTTTTTGGTAGTGTGAGCTCTGGGACACAAGATAAAATGGAACTAACACGAAAGACAATATCACATGTTAGTAAATACCACATGGTTTTTCAGGGTCATCATCCAGGACTGTCACAGAACAGGTTATGTTAGAGGCAAGCTGAGCATTAGCTTTGAAATTCCTTTTTGATGAACTTGTGACCTTCTTGTGCCTTTTGCAGAGTGTTTTTGAACATCAGAAAGAAAATAGATGAGGGTAAAGTCCAAGAGGTCTTTATAAACAAAGTAGGTGGATGCTACAGTGAAATGGAAGCCAATGGGAAGTAGGGTTTCATCCTACAAACATTTGTTGTAGGAAATTTGTTGAAATTTGCTGAGTAGTTTGTTACCTTAAAATAATGCACATCTAGGAATGCCTCTCTTCTGTTAACTTTTCCACTATTTTTTTTTTTTAATTAACCTTAACCTAGATATCAGAAAACTAAGCACCATTTGAAGTATAAAATAAACAGAGGGTCCTTTTCAGATCGGAAACAAACAGCCAAAATATTAGTAATTATTATTTTTCTAAAGAATCTGAATATTTGCCTTCAAAGCCAGTATTACGAAATTATACTTCACACAGCTTCAAAACTTTAACATACAATATTTCTTCAGTTATTTTTTCTGAACCTAAACGTATGAGAGAGATAAGCTTATGGCATAATTTTCACATGCTATCAAAAGGTTAGCAAATCTGATTAGTAGGACAATCATACTGGTATTATTAATTCTGATTACCACCACCACTCAAATAAATAAATAAATAATGGGCTTGTGATCATATCACTATATAATTTTTCTTTTAAAAATACCAAGACACTGCTAAAAATACTTGATCTATATAATAAAGCATGCAATATTTGCAGCAGCGCCTTTGAGAGCCAACCTGTGTGGATGATGTTCAGCACATGTCAGTGGAAATTAATCTGTTTTCCAAACTCCAAGGGACAGGGACTGCACTCCCACCCCTCAGAATGAAAGAGCTTTTCTGAAGGATTCAAGTCTGCTTTCACATACCTCATCTGACTCTATGATTTGTTTGCATATCAAAGGTAAGCATAAAATATGCCTTGTTCCAGAAGAATATGTTTCCAAGGTATTGTTTATATACATATGCATAAGCATAAGAGATTAATTTTCTGTAGACTAGCACTATGTTTATATTGAAGTAAGAACTTATGCAAAATGTGAACTCTCTGTTGTGATAAAATGGTATCACTCTTTGAAGACTAGTTTCCCTTCATGGACATCATTGAATACACTCTACTTTTAATAGCTTATATGTTAGTTGTGAACATCCTGTGACTGACTTCCCTGCTGTTAAAACTAGATGGAGGTTTGCATTTAAAATAGGGAAGAAATCCCTGAATATATTATCTCCAACCCTGTAAGCAGCTCTCTGGGACCAGAGTGTGTTACCTTCATCAGGAATCCATCTGAGCACAGTATTCTATATACACATACTGATAAAACAATCAGTAATATGTATGTACAAAATTTATAAATTATATCTCACAAAAAGGTCTGGTCACACACTTTCCTTCCCCAAATTAGAATTTGATTCTTTCATTACAGCATGACCATTCAAGTAAGCAAAAAATAATCCATTCATTTGTGAATGATACTTATTTTGAAATATAAAGGTTGTAATTTCTTAAATGCTTATGATGAAAGAGTAACAGACTTTTGGAAACTGAAAACTCACTTCTATACATCAGCAAAATCTGAATCACAGACCAATCTTTACAATGAATTAATATTTAAAATTTTCTCCTAGTAAAGTAAACATAATTGTTTCTGCCTACCCTGCAGAGAAAGCCAATGGAAATTACCATGTATGAATAAGTTTGAGGAAGGTTTTTGTCATCAGATGGATGCTCTCCACATTGTAGGACTTCATTTTTGTTCATTACGTACCTCAGTCATTCTATTATGAAGAAAACCTTGAAAATGTGAATTAAATGAAGCAGATGCAATGTGGGTGTTGTGAGTATGCCTGCACTCAACCCCAAAGTAACATTATTTACTATTTCCATGATGCAAAATGTTATAAAACTTAATCTAATACACCCAGTAACTACATTTCAATGCCACATTCACTATCAGAATCACTGAATCAGTGAGACCACTCAGATGATGAAATCTTGTACTAGATGGTTAGAGTTACATGACAAATTTATCCTTTTCAAAACTTTAAATTGAATTTCATGTGATATTCTTTATGATTTGCCACTGAAGTCAGAAAAATGCTCATGTTTAAAAGTAAGCATATTTTAAGTGCTTCTATAGACAGACATCTATAAATGTCATGATGCCTCCTGGTCCTCATCTAAACTTTTGAGAATTTAGAAGACCTTGAGGTAGTGTGAGTTGTTCAGTAATGTTTGTAAAATGATTTGAGCTCCTAACAGAGAAAGGTGTCACCACAGTCCAAATTGTTACCATCATGTATAGGTTTTAATAGCATTGTGTTTCACAAATTAGGCAATCTTAACTTTATTCAGTAAACTAAGATTCACACAGCGGATTTATACATATAGAATTATCTACATACATTGCACAAAGTCATAAGAAGGTGAGAAAACTTTAATTACAAAGAAGAAAGAAGAAAGAAAAATAATCAAAATGTATGAATATTCACCTCAAGTATAGACCGAGAGTGATACAGGTAAAACTGGATGAACAAGTCATAGAGATTGTCTATATATTCTTTCCTCTCATGGTACTCTCCAAGATGTGTAGAATTTAATTGGTTTTCACTACTGCTCCTTTATCCCCAGTAGCATCACTTCTCACTGCAGCTTAATCACAGCATTTTTGCACAATCTGGGACTTTCCTTTTGTTGTATTTCTTTTGGGAGGACAGGCCACGTAACCTGCTATAGGATACAGCCTGTACATGTTTATTGTGGTTTCCCAGACCAACTGCAGCCCACTTACTGTAACCGCAAGCCAGCAGTGGTATGAGAAGAGGCCTTAGGGAAGTGTGGACAAACTAAACAAATGGTGGTTGTCTAACCCTGGACAGACGGGAGAGACATATAGCTAGGCTAAGCAGTCCTGTTACAAAATCTTTCCTCTTTTCCTTAAGAACTGGTCAGGGAAGCAATTTCTCCGCATTTAGATGGGGAATCATGTTCTGCATAGGTGCTTCTTGAAAAAGTCCTTTAGGTAGATTAGATAAGAGTACAACCTCCTGAACATAGTAATGAATAAAAGACATTTTATTTTCTCCACTAAATTACCATTTAACTTTGGAGAAAAGATGGTTTGCTTTATCAAGAAATGACAGTAGACACCATGATAACTAAGGGAGGAGTGATTCTGAGACAGACAATTAAGTCTTGGGGAACTGTTGGCTGTACAAAACCCCCTTACATCTCTTTGTGATCCAGAGCAAGATTTTTTTTTTTTTTAAGGTAAATCTATTTTAACTTTATCTAATTTGACATTCACTGTTATTCTCCTCCAGACCTTTCTGCAAGGGTACCCATTTAACTTAATGGTTTCATCTTCTCTGAAGTCTCAAAGAAATCTCAACCTTTACCTCTTCAGGTGGAAAATAGGTATTGCTAGGTTTACACTGCAGCACAATCTTCTGCAAGTGATAGTTTCTTTGGTGAATGGCTGATACTGCTCCAGCACATGTATACAATGGGATATCAGTAATGGATCCATTTGATGGATCAATTGATTTATTTCTTAACTCTGATTTCTTCTGACAGATTGCCAACCGTTTTTTCTTTATTTCATGCTAGAACAGATGCTTCCAAGAAAACCCTTCCTAAAGTTATTTTATTTATGGTAGCCAATTCTGTCAATGGTAGCTCTTTCCCACCTCAAAAACATTTGCCCAAATGTGAAGGTTGAGAGACCAACTGATCATTATGTAGAATTTTCCCCTGCCTCAAGCATCTTTTGAACAAAATCATAACCAAGGAACGTAGTACTTTGCTTTTCAATATACCAAAGCTTCGTTTGTGGACTCTCGTTCTTTTCAAAAGAACGGGAAAATGGTACTTAAATACATTGCTCTGATGACCTAACCATATGTAACAGTTTCCATTTTTTCGGGTTACTATGTCTATTCATTGTAAGGAATCTGACTCTGCAAGTGCTGAAAAGCCTACATTTCCCAGAACTTCAGGAGTCTTGAGCTGTTCACTGTTTTCAGGGGTACAATCTATCCTCCCAGAAGTTCTCTTCACTAGAGAAGGAAGATAAGATTTTCAGTTGCCTCTAACTATTTGTTCAACATACTGCTTAAGATGTACTTATCTGTAGACAGCCCAGTCTGGTGGAATAATATCCTGAAGCATGAACTCATTCCAACACCATTTTTATTTTTTTGGCAGTTCATGAAAAGTCTCCTAAATGGGTAGTGTCTCTTGTCTTCTGTGAAACTCACCTTCTGTTTGGCTCATCACCTACAACACTCTCCCACCTGGTATTGATTTTTGTTGGAGATGCCAAAATTAAATGACTGCTACTTTTTGTTTAACAATGAAGCTTGGTAATAGGTTCAAACCACTAGAATAAAAGCTACTACAAATCTATTCCTTTAAACTAACCTAGAATGTGTCCAGCCTAATAAATAAAAAAAATGCTGCTTTTGATCTAAAGTGAATAATTCATTGTAAGATTAAAAAAAAAAAAAAAAACAAAAAAAAAAAACACCACAGATTACAGTTGTTAGATTAAAAGAATACAGAGTATAGTGGCTATCCACTTTGGTCTGTGTAGGGTAATATAAATTTAAAGTGGTTTAAAGTGGTTAAGAAGCAAAAACTAAAGATAGGGAAAATTTATTGTTCTACTTCTGCTTTTTTTTTTTTTTCTTTTTTTAAGACTATGTAAAGTATCAATATTTCTGCTGTCAGTAAATCCAATTGTAAAGTAACAAAGTGGAGGTAAATTAAGATTTAACCAAATTCTATTTGGTATGAAGGACGAGGTCAAACGTTTGATATATCTGAACTGCAACTGTTGGCATGTGTTGTCATCCAGTATTGTAATATCTGTGTGCACTGTTTTGGTGCAGAGTTAAACATATCCAAGAGATGCATTCTATTTATAAAATGTTGAAAAAAATGTTAGGAGTCATATCATTACTACTGCCTAGGCCCCGATTCTGCCTCTGGGATGTTGATGATTTGGGAAGATGGAACCCAGTTATATTTTTCTAGGTGTATATGGCAACCTCCTGATTGCTGTCTCACCAGAATAAACTGTAAACCTTTCCAGCTGTTCTTAATCTGGACCCTTAGCCTTTAAAAAAAAAAAAAAAAAAAAAAAAAAAAAGAAAGCAGCTTTCCATTCCTCAGAGCCAAACTTTGCTAACAATATCTATGTTGTTTCCAAATCTAGCTTCAAATATAAAAATGACTAATAAATCCATATCCCATAATAGGTTGGAAGACTATTATTTAAAATCATACTCAGTTTTTACGACCCATTTCCAGTAAAAATCCCAAACTTTTCACTAATGCTACCATTTCAGAGGCACATCCTGAACGATAGGCATGATACCCAGATAGGTACACCAATAAATAAGCAAAGGCTATAAATCTGTCTCAAATTAGTGGTTCGTGTATGTTCAAGGGGGAAGTTAGCCGGGAGATGCTGTTTTCTAATCTGTTCGCTTCCTGGCTCTTAATGTTCCGTAACTTCACAGCTGGTGATTATATTTCTCTGTGGTTTACGTTATTATGTGCTAAATACATTGCTTCGCGCCCTTTGCTGGCACCTGGGTCTTTAACGAGGATGGTGAGGGGGCTTGCAGCCTGCACCTGGGGCCATCTCTCCCATGGCCGTTTCAGGCAGCCCAGGGAGGCGCCCCCAGCCCTGGGCAAAGCCTCCCGGAGGAGCCGTGAGGCAGAGGTAGGTTGAAGGGAGGGAGGAAACTGGCGTTTGGAGGGAGCCACAGCCTCGGGGCTCGCAGCGCTTCGGAGGACAGTCGCCCGCTGCCTTTGGGATTTCAGTCCGGGCTTCCCACGAAAACGACAACAAAAACAGCGATCATCATTTGCGAGCATTCATCTTCCTGACTTTTTTACGGCCTCGTAATTGCCCCCTCCCTGACAGGCAGATTTATGCCTTGGCTGGTGGCGGGGCGCTCTGCCGCCCAGGTGGCACCACGGGCTCCTGCGGGGCGGCAGCGGGGGGGGGGGCGCGGGGCGAGCCCCGGCCCCGGCCCCGGCCCCGGCCCCGGCCCCATCCCTGGCACACGGAGCCTCCTTCCCCAGAAGCCTCCTTCCCCACGAGCCGGTCCGGCCGCTCCGCCGGCGGCGACCCCGTCTTCCCCGGCAGCCTCCTGCGCAATTAGAGCCTCCGCCGCCCCCCCCCGCGCCCCTCGTTGTTTCGAGCGGGTCTGGGCTCGCTTCTGGGCTTTCGGCTGCCTTCTCTCCCGGGGAGGGGAGAGGGCCTTGCATCACTTGAGATTTCCGTGCGAAACTCAGGGGTTATCCCGGCAGCGTTCATAAGGGAAAGCCGTTCTCGCTCTCTTCCTCTTTCCCTCTCCCCCTCGCAGCAGCCTCCCTCCGGGTGCCTCCTGCGGCTATCCCGGCAGGACTCCGCAACTGCTGCCCCGGCTCCACTGGCCTTGCATCTGCCACTTTTCGGCCTTTTCGGCCTTTGCTCTTCCCCGCCGTTCGCAGCGGGCACGGCCGGGACCCCGCGGGCCGGGCGGGGACCCTTCTGCGGGCAGCGCCGCCCCTGCTCGCCGGGAGCGCCCGAGGGGCATCCGATGGCCTAGAAATTAAGCAGCACTTCGGAGTTGGTACAGCTGCCACCCCCCGCATACCCCCGCCCTCTTCCTTACACTGCTTAGGATCTCCCCGCGTCTCTCCCGTTTCTTTGTGTGTTTTTTTTCTTTTTCTTTTTTTTCCTTTAACTTTGCCGCACCCCTGCAGCCCGAGGTGGTCGCGGAGGAGGCGAGGCGCCCCCCGGCCCTTCATGCGAGGCTCGGGGAGGAGGCTCAGGGGGGTCCCCCGCCAAATGCCGACGCTGCGGCGGGGAGCGCCCCCGGCCCGCCGCCTGCCCCCCGCGGGCCGGCGCTGACCCTCACCGGGGGCTCGCTCCCACCCCAGCCGGGAAAAGCCCCCGGGGCGGGAGGCCGGGTGGGGCGGCCCGTTGGGGCCATGGCCTCCAGCGGCGCCGGGGCATTCTCCGGCGGGCGCTTGTCGGCGGCGGGGCGGCAGCGGGGGCCGCCCGGCACCCCGCGGGGGGGAGGCGGCGGCGGCGGGGCGGCGAGGCCCGGGCCGGGGCCGGGGCCGGCCTCCGGGACCGAGCCTCTGCCGGGGGAGACCAGGAGCCGCCAGCAACTTTGTTCGGCCCTGCGCGCCGGCTGCCTCTGGGCGCTGCTGCTTCTGCTGCTGCTGGCCCTGGCGGCGAGGGGGGAGCGCGGCCGGGAGCTGGCGGTGGAGGGGGGCGCGGGGTCGCGGGGCTGGGTTTTTTTGGGGGGCTGGCTGCCCCTCGGCGCCGTGCCCCTGGGCCTGGCGGGGGCTTTCTTCGGTGCTGGCCGCTACCTGCTGCGCGGCGGCGTGCGGCCGCGGGCGGCGGCGCTGCTGCTAGCCGCCTGCTGCGGGGGGGAAGCGGCGGCGCAGACGGCGCTGGCGGCGGGGGAGGATCGCTTGCGCTCCCTGGCCGCCGCGGGGGTGGTGCTGAGCTGCCTGGCCGCCGTGACATGGCTGGTGCTGAAGCCGAGGCAGGGCGTCCTGATGATCGCCGTGACTAGCGCGGCCAGGACCACGTCCCTCGTCGCCTTGGATAGGGTCCCGGCGTCCTGGCGGCCCTACCTGGCCTACCTGCTGGGGCTGCTCGGCATCCTCCTGGCCGGCTACGCCGACCGGCTCTGGCCCCCCCGGCGGGCCGCCCCGCTGGCGGAGCCTCCCGCCGCCCCCCCGGTCGCGGACGAAGCCCCGGTGCTCAGGCGTCGGCGGCGGTCCAGCTCCATGATCTCCGCCGAGATGTCGGGCGGCAGCAAGAGCCACCGGCGGACCTCGCTGCCCTGCATCCCCCGCGAGCAGGTAGGGCAGGGGTCGAGGGACCGCAGGGGGGAAGAAGCGGGGTCCCGGCGCGCCCTTCCGGCTGCAGCCCCCTCGGGGGGCGAGCAGGGCGCCGGCTTCTCGCAACGGTGCGCAGAGTGCCCGGTGGCCGCCCCGGGACAGGGACAGGGACGGGGGGGAAGCGGGTAAGCCCCGGACCCAGACTGGCTTGTCCCCGGTGCCGGCGGTGGGGAGAGAGCTCGGGATTGTTCTTGTTATACAGCCATCGGCGGGGCTCGCTTTTAATATCGCTGTTATTTTGGAACCCTGGCAGAAAGTTGAGGCGGGTGGTACCCGCCTGCCTGGTGGGAACTTGCCCTCACGGCACAGCAGAGAGCTTTCGCAGCATCACCGGCAAGCCCCGCTCCTTAAAACCTGCAGTTTTCTGCAAAGGCAACTTGGCCCGATGAAACTTTGAAGGTGTGCGTGCGGGGGAGCCCAGCAGCTAGTCCTCGGTGGGAGAAGTCCCTTATCAGGGCGATAGCGTGTCCTCTGAGACCGGCCCGCAGCCGTGCGGTGCTCATCGTTGCACTTTGCCTCCCGGGATTGTTCCTGTGCCTGGAATCAATAGCTCCCGCTCGGCTATTGTGGGAACCGAGCCGAGGTCCACGCGTTTTATCACAACTTGCTTTATTTTAAGAGGTCGTGATTGCAACGGATTAGCGAAAACTTAGTTACCAGCCACGCAGCTTTTTAAAAGCGCATCTCAAAAAAAAAAAAAAAAAAAGAATCGAGCAAACCTCGTTATCTTTATTGCGTGGCTATAGAGAGTCCTGCCACAGACATGAGATGGGCTTAGCTCTGTGCTCGAAGCACTTTCTCATTTTTTGGAGGTTTAAAGTCACCCCCCAAAAGAGTTGTTCGGTGGGTCGAGCGCAGCTGGGCGCATTGAAAGCCCGTGCTACCCTCGCTTCGTGGTGGAGAGGGAAACCTGGGGGAAAACAAGTGGCAAATGGTATTAAGCTTTCCTTTTCAATTAATATTGTGAATGACTGGGAGCTGTGGTTGACTGAAGCGCATTGCCCCACACCAAAGGTTTTCTTTCAGGTCACTTGCTGGATAAGCAGCTAAGTATTTTTGAAGTAATGGCATCTAACCATCTGGTGTGGGTGGCTAGTTTGTTTCTGGAAATGGTTTGATTACATCCCTTTGTGGTTGGTTATGACATTTGCTAGAAGAGGGCCTGACAACCTTATATACTTGAGGCTTATTTTACAACAAACGTACTTATTTATTTAACATTTTTGTTTAGATAAACTAAATATTTACCACAGTGTCCAGGCAAATACAGTGTGAAAAAATAGAAGGCTGACTCAGTTCAGACTTTGTTTTACTATGAATTCAGAGAGCGAGGAGGGTGTAAGAATAATTTGTAAATACAATATCTAAGGCAAGAAATTAAAAGCATTTATACTTCATGATGCTAGATGTTTCTGGTGGTTTCTTACAATAATCACTTGTAGTGTTTTAAACATATTTCCAGTTGCTCTCTCACTTTAAGCAAAAGCAGTTTTCCAGTTAATATGTCTAAACGTAATCGTTCAGAGATAGGGCTCACTAGTTTGCGGTCACATCCTTCCCCCTTCTTGTGGAGAGAATTCAGATCATCCATATAGACTGCGATGTTATCCTGGCGATGGATAACAGGGTAGATCTCTTCCCCCCCACCCCAGCTTGTATTTCCCATAGAGACACTAGTCAGATTTGTCCCAAGCAGCTTCGGCTTCGAAGCTGTGGAGATGGACTGGTGTGAGCAGGCAACTGTTAAGTTTACCCACTCCAGGATTTTGGCAAATTTCTCTTTCTTTTGTTCTCACTCGGTATTAATCAATAGCGAGATCTGGTATCACTTGCGTCACTGTGTGATTAGAGATGGATGACTACTTTCAAGTTTGTGGAGACTTTTTGTCTTTTATTTTTAAGTACATTGTGGCTGTACGTATGTGAACTTCCCTCCCTAAAAGCTGTCCTTTTAAATAAATTGTAGCACCGCAGAAAAACAGAGACCCTGACACAAAGCTCTGTAAGAATCTTGAAGAAATTCTGGGAGACATGGGACTCTCTTAATCTGCAACAAACAAAGTTTGTGTTTGTAGCAAGAAATCACCTCCCTGTAGACTTAAAAAAACCATAGGTAAATGTTTCTCTTTTGGACAGTTTTTAAATATAACTTGTTAAAAATAGAGATGAGGGCTTTATAAACAGAACCAGGCCTTCCCTCACCCCCCTGTTTTTAAAAAACATACCCTGACTGCTTCTGGTCCGAAAGATAGTTTCTGAGTATGCCTGAGAGCTGCCAATAACTTGCATCAGGAAATGGATCTACTTTATTGCTTTGAAATACATGCTTTCAGTTGCTGCTGAGTAACTTCAGGAGTTCTAGAGGTGTTTCCCGCTGCCTCTCATGTAATCTTTCCTATTCCTGAGCACTTAGTTAAGGTTTTATTCTTCCAGAGTGTGGTTCCCTCCCTATCTGACCGCTTGTATAAATACAAGAGCCTGCTAAAGTTTTTTTTTTATTATTATTTTAATTTTTTATTCTTTTAGTCACACATATCTCAGTTATAATCTAAAATTTTCCCTGCTAGAATACAAATTTATTTGGCCTTGTGGTATAAAGAGCAATACCAGGAATTGCAAAGTAACATCACAAATAGGTGAAATAGCTAAAATTAAAGAAATAGAAAACTGATGTTTCAGCTGAGGAATAGCTGAAAATGTCTTTGTCACTATAAATTATTCTTTCTGTGGAAACATCTCATCTTCATTTCTTATCAGTCCCCAAAAGAATTTAAAAAGCAAAAGTTTCATAAAATAAACTACCACAACCAAACACACACATGCAGATATAACCTTATTTTGCTGCTAAAAACGTTCTTTACCAGTTTTGTTTTAATTCTGTATTGGGGGTCTGATTTATCTTTTTTTCTTTCAACTTCAGCAAATTTTAGGATTAAAAGCTTCCAGTTTGGCTTGTATGCATTTCTCATTGAGAAATGTGTGCTTTCTAACAGCCTGATCCTGCTTACAGCTGAGTGCTGTCTTCCTGTGATTTCATCAATGCCAGCTGAGGATGCTCAGCTCCTTAAGGGCTCGCTCACCCAGTTTTGAAGATGACTGCAGAGAGAAATTGTGAATGGGTGGATGAGACAGACAATGAATGAATGAATGAACAATTTTTTTCCCCATGTAAATGCATAAGTACCACCAGGGCAATAGCGTTCGAGTTTCTTCCTCATGTTTTTGCAAACTTTTTATAGCTTTTCCTAAATATCTGGGGAGAAGATTGTGGTGGGAGGGTTGGAAAAGTGTTCTGTGACTTGGTGTTTCCTATTAAAAAAATATATGGCCCATGTATTCTAGAGCTTATGCCTCCAATCTCTGCAGGTATAAACATGCATGTATTCAATGTGTCCAACGGTCTAAAGGGACAATTTTGCTGTGGCCAGGACAGAGTAGCCGGACAACTTAAACTGTGCAGAAGACTATTAATTTTGCTTTTAAGCCTCGCTTATTCTTTGTTTTGTCTAGAAGGAGATGGGGCTTTCAGCTGATTTGGATTCGTTAGAAGTGTGTGTTAAACAAACTAGAGCAGCTGTTTCCAGTAGTTCAAATTGTTTATCAAAAATACCTTTGTAGGTATTTTTTGCTGTGGTCAGAAGATTGTCACAGGTAGAGCATACACCAGGGTTTGAAGTACGTTCCAGTTCCCAGACCAGCCTGCAACCCCCTTGGTGACACAGCCCTTTTAACCAGGAGGCACTGGCAGGGTGCTGAGTCTTGTCCTGACCCTTTGCCCTGCACCAGGACGTAGGTCTGATGTTTCCAGCTGCAAGGCCAGCATGTAAACTCCCAGCTTGTCTATGGCTCCTGGGGCAGAGAGGTTTTCTACCCATCTTCCTTTGTTGTTTGTCTATGCTCTTTCCCTACTGATGGGAGATTAGGGGTGGGCATCTGAGCATCTGTCACTTATTTTTAACTGGTTTGGTGCTTGTAGCTGTTTTGTGCTGCCACTGCTCCGTGGCATCTGTGCCACATCTTTCCCTTCCTGTTTCTTCTTTCAGCAAGTAATTTTTTTTTCAGGTGAGCAACTTTAGTCCCAGACTCCTCTGTCTTCCTTCAGTGGCAGCTGGAGGAGTCTTGCTTGGTGTGACCGCAGTTGGTGGGACTCTGAGTGGTGGCTTTGCCGGTCTCCCACTGCTGCATGTGAAAGCTGTGAGCTGAGACCGTCATCGCGGCTGGTCTGCGGAGCTGAGAAGAAAGTACTGTAACAGTTTACATGGTCAAAGATATGACTTCAGTGATAAGATCTGTGAAATCGATGAGAAAAATAAATGTAGTTGTTGGTGGTGTTTTATTTTTTCTTCTTTCCAAGGGAAAATTGAGGTTTTATCTGTTCTTTTAATTGTTTGATGGTGAGAACATTGTAAGTGCCAGGAATACATTGCTTCCCTCCTCTCTTTCCTGGCTCTCTAGCATTCTGTCCTTTAAAAAAAAAAAAAAAAAAAAAGTAAAATGTACAATTATAACCTATTTTTAGTATTATGTATGCTGCTCTTTGGTTTGATAATAGAAGAGGTCCAAATGCAACAAAGATTTTTTCAAATTTTGGAGAGGAGATAGTAGATTAAATCTAGACACTAAATTTCATAATATGTTGCTGATTAGACATGGAGCATATTAGAATATACCTTCTTCTAATAAGCATTATTGAGCTGTAATTACTCTGATAAGATTTACTGGCGGTACCATTTAGGTCACCAGAAACTGACTAATAGTAATTAGTTATGTCACCCAGTGACTTGCTGTAACACAACTGTGTGAAATATTCTATGAAGTCTCCAGGAAAATTCATGCAAGGATTCCAGATGTAATGCTTTTGTTTGTTTGTTTTTTTCATGGTTTTATTTACTCAAATCAGTTCTACCTACATATTTTTTTTCTCTTTCAACCCCACAAAAAGTTTAAAACTGCTGATGAAA